TATATAGCGAGTTAAAAAAATATCCTAGAAATTTGCCATTTTACGGCATGTTATTTGCCATTAATTATGTCATGCAAAATAAGATAATTGCAACTCTTCCTCTAGGAAACTTATCTGGCATAGGTGAAGGTCAGGAGTTGAAATCTCATTCGCTAATAAGTCACGAATGACCTGAAAAACATATAGACTGTAATTAAGTCATCTCTTCTCCATCCTTTCGTCAGGTTTTTTAAATACAATACAATGCTAATGGATCCTTTAAATTTGTCAAACCTCCTAACGGAATCCCTTTATGAAGAGCTTTGAGTGGGTTGGTTTATTTCCTTCAAATTCCGTTATAATTGCTTTGACAGATACGCGTATTTCGTCTTCTACTTGTAGACTTCATCAATGCCAAGTACTCACAGTATTATGGAACTAGTTAGTTTAATTTATTAACGATTAGGTATTTATATTTTTTCTCAATAACGTGTCTTTTGTCCTTTCAATGCAATACATTCAATGTTACAACTTCCAACGCCTCCAACGTGAGAACCTAAAAGTAAATTCCAAACCACCCTTATACACAACCGCAATGCATCACGTACAGCATTTAAATAAAACAAACTTGAACTTGTCGAAATTTCCGACTGTCTACCTCCTGTCATGGTTTCAGCTTCTCTGTAGAGCTAACGTGATTCCACATTGTCATCGTCTATCGAATCAACTGCTTCTTGCTTCTGTTTCAAAACTCTGGGTAGCTACCTCACCTCCAACGACAATCCCTCCCCAAATTGGAAGATCCTATCTGTAGTCGACACATCATTAAGCCGAGAAGCACCCAAATTTAATTTTCACCAGACCACTGCTATCCCAGAGGCGACGCCCCAGCACAACAGTAAAGTAACCCAAATTACGTGCTTCCTGAAATCACTTTCCCACAAGGAGTGAAGAGAAACCTCCCTTGAGAGTGTCGGCTGGATGGGAACGGGGAAAAAAGTGGCCCAAGTTCAAACACATAATTTTGCATTAATTGACTCCGCCGGTGTAATCTAATGGATCGTTTCATAATTTTTTAACCCTCCCTGCTGGATCTTTTAAAAGAATGGACAAGTTGCTCGGTAAAAAAAAGGACAAACCATCTCTAAGACCGAAAAGAAAGAGCAAAAAATCGACGACAAGCGCATAGGGACGTGTCTGGGGTATCTTTTTTCCGCTCTCTACAATTTTGGATACATTCACTGCTGGTAGGTATTTGTACGGTTTTGGGAGAAGCTGTGACTTTATTGTTTCGCACAGTGGTCAAGCGGTCTTTTTTTGTTTTTGAGAAATTCTGGTGTTTTTATAAGCGTTTAAAAGTTCCCCTCCCCGAATGGGTCGTTTGTTGGAGTATAATCGAATCGATTGTCGATTGGCTGCTTTGAAAAATGTTAAATCTCGTATTAGAACGAAAACTGAAATATGTGTATTTGGGCTCACTTGTGGCCGCCGATAATGATACCAGCAAGCAATTCAAAGACGCATTGTAACAGAAAATTGTGCCTACTTTGGACTAAGGAGGACGCTCCGGTCGAATAAACTTCACCGCCGCACGAAGTTGACTATCTACAAGACACTGAACCGGTGGTCCTCTACAGCCACGATACCTGGACAATGCGCTATTGCTATTTTCGAATGGAAGATGTTGCATACCATCTACGGTGAAGTGTAGATGAAAGACGGAGCGTGGAGGAGCAGGAAACGAATGAGCCATGAGTTGCACCAGCTGCTGGGAGAACCAGCCATCATCACAACCACAAAAAATCGGGTGACTCTAGTGGGCTGTGCATGTCGTAAGAATGTCGGCTGACAACCTGGCTAAAATGGTTCTTGATAGCGACCCGACTGGACAACACGAAGAGGCGCACAGCAGGCAAGGTGCAGCGATCAGGTGGAAGGTGACCTCCCAAGTAACACATAAAACATCTTTTTGAAAAAGAATTAGAACGGCTTGTTGTATAAATGTATTATAAGTGATGCAGAAAACATCCCACCTTATAAAGATGTTTTCTTCAAACTTCCTAGATTCAACATTTTCCAAAATAGATTTCTTTTGCTTTTATCTTTAAATGTTATTTAAATGTGCATCTTACTGTTTTAATACCACTATAAAACTTGTCGTAAACAAAATCAAACTTAGTCTTAGTTATAAAGTTCTTGAAGAGATTCTGTACTTTCGAGATTGACGTAAACATTAACAGCGCCATTGAACCGGACTGTCTCTTCATGCAGTGATTGACAGTTTCTTATGAGGTATTCGGAGGTTCGTTATAAAGAAAGTTGAAAACACTTTTTTATGACATCTCATAAATTAATACAACTGAAAATGTGCCGGTTGTTGGAGTTGAAAATACTTTTGAATAACATTCTGGCAATTAGATGTACACTTTGCTGCTAACAAAACGTCTTTATGACGGATCGAAGGCGTGTTGAACGAGAAAATAATTTTCATGCCATTGGCAAGAACATCATAGATACTTATAACAAACCTCACATCAAGCGGAGTTGGTCTAGTTAGGAAGTAATAAGTCTACGACCCCAAAGACCAGTAATCGAATCCCATGCTCAAGTTTTTTTTGTTTTTGTTTTGTCGCTGGTTTTTATGATGTTATAAGACCAGTATTTAGTTGTATAATCTCCGTGTCATGCGCTTTTTATGTTGTATAAATGAATTAAATGATGTATATTAAAGTATTATTGATTCTTTACGTAAGTCATTAAAAAGTATTTTCAACTTCTTTATGACAAGCCGGACCCTCCGCAGCACGAGCAGGAACCGATAACTAACCGATAAAATATGAATATCTTATTGCGGTATGATACCTTATGTTGGTATGTTTGTGGTATAAAGCCTTGCTTTGATATTATTCAATTACCGAAATATTTTATAAAATATCAAATAAATACCAAAATATCAAAACGTGATCTTCAGTTTTTAGATAATAAGATCTAAAAGAGTAAATAATTGGATTGGTATTAGAAGACCTTAAATAACAAATTATGGTATTCTGGCATCAAAAAAGCGTCTGTTATCCGTCAGTTATTATAATAACTAAATTATTTATTTATTATAATAACTTCGTTCGTTATTCGTAGAACTTTTTTGATGTATTATTTTTGGTATTTTACCTCTTATGTCAGGCTTTTCAATACCATATTCAGATTGCTAGGTATGCTATTTTCATACCTGAATTCGATATTCATAGGTTATTTTCTCCTGCTCGGGAGTCGATGTGGCAGTCTATTTGCAGCTATGCATCGAGTGGAATTGAGAAACTTCTTCGTACAGCACAAGACACCCCATCTTTGACCTGAATGTAGTATTAGTAGCAGTATGAATCCAGAAGGTAAAAATATCATCCAATATAAACTCCTAAGAAGCTTTTAGTCATACTCAGCATTACATATGTAATAGAGTGGTTCAAAAAATCAGTTTTGCTCCAACAGGCTCAACTTCCTAGCACTTCACTATAATGATTTACAGAAGGCAAATTTGCTACAGACAACTTTTTGATTAGACTACAAAGTAAATAATTATTATTATAATAACTTATTATAATAACTTTCAGATATGACTAATCGACTGCTTTCAGAGCAACACTGCATGTACTTATGATAAAGTAGCTTGAAGTAGCTGCCTGCTGAGCGGTTTTTGCAGCATGTCAGAAGAATATCATCTTCCAAATTAATTAATTACTAATCATGAATTGAAATGTGGCCTTCAGCAATGTTGCAGCTGGGAAATATCCACATTAGCACAGATAGATTTTTTTTTCGCAGATCATTACAGCAGAGGGAATGTAGAACGATGAGAGCAAAAAGTTCACTTTTCCCATAGTAAATTTTAACTATCGCTTAAAATCTCTCCTCGTTTAATGTTGAGCTACAGTTGGCATAAACAACTAAATCGTTTACAAGCTTGCATACAATATTGCTAATTTAAGCAATATTGCGCTTAAATTAACATGACATTTTTACCTAGGGGATGAGTACTTAAGGGAGTTAGGTTTTTGATAAGTCTTTAGTGAGAATGACACTGATGAATACTGCACATTGTAACCGAAATACGTATATGTCCGAAAATAACCCTTTTCTATGTTTTATCAATGAGTAAGCCGTTTTAAGCTATATTAAAAATGTTCCTCTAAACGTGATTCAACGGTTGTCTTGTTATTGTTCATGGTATTGTCAAATCCAATAATATATACTAAAGAAATGAATTGAGTAAAGAGGCGACATCCTTTCCATTTGACAGGTCTTCTGCTCGATTGTCATAACTTTTCCTTTGACTTTGACAGATAAGTTAAGTTATACGACTTTGACAGATAAGTTAAGTTAAGTTTTCTTCAAGGCTTGGTTCGCCTCTGATTGTTCCAACTTTTAAATGATCTCATTATAAATGCAGCCTCTTTAATATATACTACTCCATTATTTTCCAAAGAGTGCTCCATGGGATATACAAAATTGTGGCTACTGTGGTTAATGATTGTCTACCATATAAACACATAACATATATGGGATAGCCAATAATCAAACGAAACTTTACTCCACTTGTCTTGGCTGGCTGATAAGTCCCACTGTGCACGGTTTTATTTTCAAGCTGATCCAAAAACAACAATAACATTTTCTCAACACACTTCCATCTCCAACACCATAGAATAACAACACATTGCCTAAGATATTCCGCCTTATGAATTTCTCCGCTTTTCATGACTTTTTTCCGCTATTATCAACTCACTTCCGTGTTCTTGCAGAGAAAAATGGGCGAACATGCGCTCTTTGGTCCTTTGGAGGGGTACCATTTGGCAGCGTGAATGTAGTTCATTCGTACTGTTAGTAAGAAATGAACCACTCCCTTACCGACGGTCCGTGTCGGGTACTCAGTGAATCCTCCATTCGGCCGGTGATGCTTGGCTACATATCGTCGGATTAGAGTGCACAATGTTTGGAATTTGCAATCATTTGCAGTACTTCATCAGCTGTATCGTCGGTCGGTTGTGCGAAACCATAACGGAACACACGCGTACAGTGTCAGTCCAAATAAATTATTTTTATGGAACTCTGCCGAAATGCTATCAGATCTGCTCTATCAGTGATCGGAGATCGAAGGGAAAGTGATAAATCCACGAAGCCCCTACAGAGGTAGGCGTTCATGAACCTGCCTGGCTGGTACACCCGACAGGCGACAATCATCATGAGATGCGCAACCAAATTTTAATTGCTCTCAATTAATGTGTTAATCTACTGATTGATTGAGTACAGCGAAGTGGCATTTCATTGGCTTGTTTGCCTGTGTGTCAAGTGTGTGTGTATTTTTTTTTGCTGAAGTGATAAATCATTTTACTGTTCGTGCCATTCCTCACGTTTCAATGTGTGGTGAAGAGTGTGATTTAAAAATACATAATCAATCAGATACAACGGGAATTTAATTTCGAATCGGAAACGAGAATTTAAACGGTGTTGTGATTTCTGCTTAAGCGAAGCATTAGTACTGGATATTGGTGTCAGTTTTCAACCGCAGAGGAAATCATTCGCTTCCCGGTTCATCCGATAGCATCGATGGAATAAAAGAAACCCGTGCCAAGTCTGTGAGTGTTCTATTTTCTAAGCTACCGTGTTTGTCTTGCTTCGTTAGCTTTGGTTTGTCGTCTATTACTGATTGAAGTCTCTAAGTTACCAGATGCTCCATCTTTATCTAAAGGTTTGTTAGGTAGCTAGTGTTCGTAATTTATTGTTATAAGAATCAATGGAAACTCTTATTTTCTGTTGTTCTTCTCATCTATTGGTTTCATGTTTCGAACTTAGAAAACCGTTGATTAAACCAAACTACTTTGACATTAGACCCTCATTTGATGACACTAAGCATGTCATGAATAATTTACATGCGACTCTTAAGGTCCAAACGCAATGACAGCGGAAGCGGAAGGCAATGGTAGAGGAAATGCCCGATCTGCTTATCGGATAAAACACTTTTTAGAAGCAAATTGAGTTCAGTTTGATATCTATTGAGAAAATTTTCAAATATGTCGTTTCCGTCTTGCTTCCACCCACATTGCGTTTGAGCCTATAATAACAGCTTAGTTAACGAGCTGCAAGAAATCGAAAAAAAAATACTTAGATCAGAAAAAAATCCACGTTTGTATTGTTTTCCAATAAGACAATTTTGTCTCTATAATAAATTTTAATAAAAGTAATAATCTTCAAATTAATATCAAAGATAATTCGAATATTTATTATACCAGTACTGGGGTACACTAGGGTGCTTCATTTTGACAAAAATGTTAAATTTCTTATAAGCAGTTCGATTAAAAACCCCAAAACATGAGCTTGGACAAAAATGGTAAAGACTGATGCAGGTTTAGAGGTCGCGCAAATGATTTGAATAAGGATGGGAATTACTATGGAAGAATTTTAAAAATCACTTGTATCGCCCTAACTTTGGTTCTACTGGTCCTAATGCTAAAAACATTTAATATATTGTTGCTACGACGATCAGTTTTATAGTATATCAGAAAGATAGAAATGCGAAAAATGTCAAAATAGAGAAGATTTACCGATGAAAATGTACTAGAGCAGCAATTTTTATCAAAGCAATAATAGACTTGTTATTGATTGTCATGAAAACCAAACATCACATATTCTTTTCATCAATACAACCAAAATTAGAGCAATGTAAGCGAATCTAAAAAATTTCCCGTAGTAATTCACCGGGATCTTCATACAAACTTTAATCCATTGGTGCAACCTAAATCGTCATCAATCTTTACTATTTTTTGCATATACTCATATTATAAGGTATTGCATCGAACTAGAGGGTGGCCAATAAGAAATTTATCACTTTGGTGTACACGTGACCAATCCTAACAGAAAGTCATTTGAAATGATTACCGCAAGGTTCCTTGGACACAATTAACTATACAACATGATCAGAGAGTCAAAATCAACAGTTTTATCATTTTCACTCACTGGATCATAACATCTCTTCTGGTTACTTAAAAAAGAAAAATATGGTTATGTTCCCGAGCATGAACGAATATCTCGATACCTTAAATTGGTATGGATGAGCCTGAAATAAGAGGTAAAATACCATAAAAATGTTCCCACAATACCATGCAATACCAAAACAATACCACCCAGGTTTTTGTTTTGGTATCCAAATAAGAATTTTTTGTATTTACGAAGAATTTTCTATGTAATTTTTTGGTATTATTCTTTGGTATTTTACCTCTTATGTCATGTTAGTCAATACCAAATTTTGATATCAATTCAGAACTAGGTATTCATTAGTTATTTTCTCCTGCTCGGGTTAGGTTAAGTTGCCTTTATTAACGACACTTTCATTACTTTCAATACTTTCAAAACATAACTATGGGCTGAAATCGAATTTTTTTTATTTAATTTGTTTCTTTTATCATAATTTTAATATCAATGTAGCATACAGAGAACCTGCTCAACATGAGTTAAAAATATCGTTCATCAGTGAAAAATAATTTCCTTCATCAACCATAAACATAAAAGTAGGAACAATTAAAAAATCAAGAAAATTTTAAATCATCAGTGATTTTATAACCATTTTTCCACATAAAGTTGTTTAAATGAGCCTTTGGATAGAATCACATAATACAATAAGCATATTTGTCGAAAAAGTTCCGATAAATTTCATGTTGAGTCTGCCCTAAATTTGCAGTACTTTGGTATCAACTATATCACAGACAACAGACATCCAAGCTTTAACAATTTTTTCGAAAAATTATGTGTAAACAAGACAAATCAACGGACATCAATCGAGTTTCTGCGGAACCATTATTGTCGAATAAAAAAAGCTCTTTTACAGTTTCCTGTCGATCATCCACCGTTTTTCGTTAAAAATTTAACTGGGCATAGTAGTCCGGAGCAAATCTGACTTTTCTTGATTCACTGGCAGCGTATCTTCAAATGATTCAATAAGGGTGTGAACTCCAATTAGCCCTCATTTAAATTCAGAAAATTGTGGTAAGATTTGAACACTTCTTACCCTACATCCGTTCTTCCAGGAATTCGAAAAGCCTCCGGAGGGAAGTGGTCGGAACATAACTTGTTCGTTGAAAGCGCTTGGACTCCACGTGAGAAGAAAATATCCTGTAGTTCGTTCAATTCAGCATACTTACACGAAACGAAAATCAATTATTTTATTCATGTGTTTGACGTATACATTTTTGCCAAAACATCAGCCTTATACATTCCATAAGACAAACCACATAGGTCCTATTAGAATGCATAAAAGGTATGTTGGACCGATTATACATTTCATTTGACACATGATCTTTATTAAGGCGTATGCTTATTAGTTGACTTATACATTTTATGAATAATTAATAATAGAAATTTGCCGAAAAGTATAAGGATATTTCTATCCGTGTAGGAAAGTTATGAAGAGATTTTCGCTTGTTTATTTGCGTACCAATAAAACTCGCACTTGCGGCCCATGTTTTGATCGGTTTTAAACAAACAATGTTTTGCTCACAACAATTTTGACATTTATGTTCAGATGACGTTTGCCGGTCATCGACGTCAATGGGGAGCGGCACTAGTGCCACCATATTGCTAGTTTCAAATGTCTATTCCAAATAGCAGTTAAATTTCTTGCACACTTTAGGAATTTGACTTGGATGTCTGTTCTCTGTGACTACACTGAAAGAGTTATAATCCTAGAACACGCACAAGCTCAGTGCTGCATGCTGTCAACAATGTCAATTGACGTAAGATATTGATCTAGCACCGAATTTAACTTCCGACACTGATATTCGTAGTAGGTATGATATCAGGTGAAACGTCTTCGACATTACTGTCCATTTGAATATCACTACGTAAAAGTGGAAAATCTTACTTTTATCTTAATAAATCAACTTTTTTGTATAACCGTTGCATTATTTTAATATTACTGATGAGTTTTCTAAAGATCGGTACTCGATTAGCTGGCATATATAAAAAAAAATGTGGCGAAACTTAGAATATCAGTGGTCCCTTTACGATTTCAATGTTTTTTTTTTTTCCTTTGGTTTGTTTTTTCCGTCGATCTTGTTTTCCGTGCTGAGCACCAATGCTACCGACGTGCCAGGAAGGCAGCTCCCACACCTGGACCCTACCTATCGACCCATCAACTCATGAACCGGGGACCAACGGCTTTACTTCCCATCCGAAGGAAGGCGTGATCAGAGATGTTATGCCTCAGAACATCCCGGCATCGCCGACTGGGATTGAACCCAGGCCTGCTGGGGTGAGAGGTAATCACGCTTACCACTACACCACCGGCGCCGTTACGATTTCAATGTAATTTGCGTCATTTTACCATAACTGCAAGCTTACGTAATATAGCAGCTATGGTAATGCCAGTGTTTTTGAGTGGATTAACGGTCAGCTTCTTTTAAAATATTCTGAAGCTTCATTAGAATCTTCAGAAGCTTCTTTAGAATCTTCTTTGGAAATCTTATTTGAAACTTCTTTTAACATCTTCTTTAGAAGCTTCTTTTAGAAGCTTTTTCTTAAGAATCTTACCTTATACGTTTGCCTTTACCTTCGCTCCTCTGACTAAAAAAAACACGGGCAGAACTGTAAATCTGAGTAGCTACGCGGTTATGGAGCGTGTACCCAAAATTTATGGACCATTTCATCGTTTTAAAGTTACAAACACGATTTTCTCGTAAACCACTGCGGTGAGAAATCAATCACGTTTACCACTCAAGCACTGGCACAGTAATTGTTTCATAAAAGTATCTATCATGAAACAAATATATATAAATTCGAACATAAAATAATATCAGAATTTTAATCAATCAATGAACACTACTTCTTCACTACTTAAGACTCATCTTTCCGAATAGTGTAGTGATGATGATCAAATGAAATCACTTGAGAAAAATTCTCATTGAAAATTGATTTCCCGGGTAGATGAAAATATCTCAGTCATACACAGCTATTATCTTGATATAAAAAAATATATATATATATAAAGAGGAAATAACTCTATGGATCTAAGATTGGGCCCATCGCTAAAAACCTGCTATTAATCAATTTTATCTAGATGAACGCGTCATTGACATATGGATTTTTTGGTCACTATTAAAAATTTAGTCGATTGCTGAATTTAAGTATGGGCCCAAATTAGAGGCATTAAAGGCCGACATTACATCCATTTCCCCACGATATTAGAGGTAAAATATCAAGAAATAATATCTGATATTTGTTCCTGCAATGTCTTTCCAAAAGCAAATTAATTAATTACGGCATCTAATCAATAACAAAGTACTGAAATTCAGGTATTCGTTTTATATGCAAACACTAGAATTTTTAAAATGGTATTCGGCAGGCCATTTTATGATATTATTTCTTGAAATTTTACCTCTTATGCAATGCTAATCCATACCAACTTTAGATATCAATAGTAAACATTCTACCCGGGTTGAAACTCTATTATATCAGCAGCCCTTGCTGTAGTTGTATTTTGACTCCATTTGTGACTTTTCAATTGACCACTTTTTCAAGCAGTTTTGGCGTGACTTTCTACCAGCGATTCCACAAAACTGGACCAACCAATTTCTATTTTTTTATG